TTTACTTTTCTTTTTGCAAAATTTAAAACATGAAAAGTTCAACCTCAAGAGTTTTGGTGTATTATTATAAACACAAGCTAATCCACTTTTTCACTCGAAATCGTTTCTTCGCGAGCAACACGGTACATAATTGGTTTCAAGTTTACGAGACCGACACAGAAACAACGTTCGTCCGCCGCGTCTGGGCCCGATCGTGGAATTAGAAATCGAAAAAAAACTTGTGCCACTCCACGTGACGCCCGTTTTTTTTTTTAATTTGTAAACATTTAGTGCGATTATGCGTTGTATAAAGGGGCACATAACGCATCACGGTTCTACGTGCGACACGCGTACGACGTAAGTCTAACGACACGGTGGCACACAGATCCGGACAATTCGAACGCGCATTTTCCTCGACGCCGAACCGTAGTCGAACGGTCGTCTCCGGAACACGCGTGCGCGGTCTTTAACGAAACGGAACTTGTCTTGTTACTTGTCGCGCGGGCCACACGCACGACACGCGGATAGGCGATAACTCAATCAGCTGTTCAGCCCCCGAGGCCAAGACGTTCGGAAACAGCCTGCTGGACGCGCACACCCTACCGCTATTGTTAATGTCCACTCATCTTCGTCGGGTTAAGTAGGTCTCCGTCATAGGCGCAATTTGGGGGGGGGGGCTTGGGTGTGCTTAGCACCCCCATTTTCAAAATTAGCACCCCCATTTTCAAAATTAGCACCCCTAAATGTGTTTATGTTAATTTACATTTAAATACTCATTACTCATTATGTATAGAAAAACAGAGTTTTTATTGTATAAATATATACATTTTTTTTATATATAATTTTTTTTTCACGTATGGAAAAACTCTTAAGATTTAAAAAATGACCTATTTAATGTACTACTACATGCCGATTTAAAATTTAAAAAAGGTCATAGAAAAAACTTTTGGACCTATATTCCGAAAAAGTGTTAAAAAATTAAGATACAAACATTATTATAAAACCATTATATCTTTCGCATCAATCAGAATCTAAAAGTGATCATATGAGGAAACATTTGTGTTTAAAGACAGGTAATTCGTTATATGCGCAATAAAAATATAAAATCAAAGTGAACAATTTAGAAACATTCATATATTTACCAAATATTTTAGTAACTGTTGAATTGTACAGGTTTCAGGTGTTTATAACCATTAAGAAACATAAAAAGATAGAAGGGCTTCAGCACCCCCAGTTTTTTAATTGAAATTGCGCCTCTGGTCTCCGTTACGAATCGAAACCGTTCGCGGAAAAACAGAGAGGGATAAACCGCGCTCGTAACTTTGCCCGACAAATACCATATTGCTAGTGGACGCGATAACGGACGATGGGTCATACATGTGAACCATGTGTTTGGCGCACCGGAGGCCTGAAAACCGACGAAAAATACCGCGTACCCGTTGTAGGGCGGTGATTGGTTGTGTACGATCTGCGACTGTTGTGTGTTCACCGCTAAACCGGTAAATTTTAAATTTAAATATAAATCATGTTTTACTCATTAATGCAATACGATTTAACGTCGAGAGCATCGTCTTCGCGACCCGGTTCGCATTCTGCTTATCGATTTTCAAACCGATCCGAAATACTTGTACAGCCATCACGCAATAACTGTTTTAAGCTGTTTAAACCAATACAAAAGCAATCCATAAGTGTACTACGGAATCGTAACGAAGTAGTAAAAACTATGATCGAGCTCCATTGTTCGTGGTTTGTCACATTTTACCGAATGGATCATGCGTCTCGTCGTCAGCGCACGATTGCTATTGTTACGGATCCGTACGCCGAAACGCGAAATCGATCATGTTTCTGTTTGTACAGTACTGTATTGTACGCAGCATCGTTGGTGTGCGCGTACCACAAGACGTATATGTTCAACACGCTCGTTTTATCAACACAAACAGCGTACGTGTCTTTCCGAGAGTATTTTTGTGAAAAATATACGCGAACATAATTGTAACGGTGTACACACGGTATACAATACGGTTTTCGCTAACAAAACGCGCGGCATTCGTATAATTAATATCGCTTGTACCTCGTATAAAGTTTCCTGCGCGCACTTCATCGCCGTCGAGTTCAAGATCCCCCGACACCGCTGGCTAGGCACACCAAGTGCTTCTTTCGAGAGGCGACCAGGAAATAACGAGCGCACCTCCGGTGCAACATAATACACCTGTACGGTGCATACGCGTATCGTAATCTACAGGAGAGTACGTCGAGCAACTTGGCCCATATAATAATACAATCGGTCGGGCCGGCACGAAAATGAAAATAAACCGATTAAACGTATAGATAATGTGTAATCGATTTGAAATACCGAGCGCAATGTTTGTGTAACACCTTTACTTTTTTTTTTTTTTCTTCTTAAATCTATTATACCGGCATCATCGTCCGTCCGTGTTGTTTATTGATAGGAGTGGCCCTGAACTCGTGAGGGTCAATAGGGATCAATTGTTTCCTATATGTACACGTATCGATGTGTATGTATACGTATAGGCCCCTCACTCCTCTTCCGTTTAAGCACATATGTATATTATGTACGGAATTCTTAACCGTGTTTTTGTCCCGGACTCGTATATCTTTTTATCTAATTAAATGATTTTGAATTATGAGTTTTGCAAGTAATCATTGTACTAAAAATATATATATACATATATAATCGTTGTACGTTTGTTACTTGTATGCATTTTTTGGGTTACTCGTAAGATTTAAATAAAAAAATATGTCTTTATGTATCTACTTTAGGTAAAATGTTTAAATTCTAACAATATCCTACAGGATAGACACTCTTTAAGAAATCTTGATTTCCTTAGGGAATATTTATTGAAAACGTTAGTTCTATAATTTTAAACATTTTTTATATTTTTAAATTTTAGAAAAATTTATCATCTTATGTATCAATAATTAAACCTACTAAAATATTTTACTAACTATATGTTTAATATTCTTGCATTTATTAAAAAAATTAACACCGATGTAACCAAACTCAAAACAAACATGATCAACAGATCCAAATAAATATATCATATTTTATCTTCTTCAAATTTTAATGATAAGTCAGAACTGATGATATTATACTTCCAATTAATATTAATACATTTTGGGAAAGTCTCTATAAGTACGTGTATTTATATAGTTTAATTTGTTTCAGTTAATACATTTTTTTTTTATTAAAAACTAAAAATTACATACAATTGTATGTTCACATTAATATATTTTAAATTCAAATTTAAAACATAAATACTATTAATAAAGAAAACGTAGTGAAAGACTATATACACACGAGTTTATTTCGACAAAAAAAGACCAGCAACAAAAAAAAAATCTAAACTAGATTTGTTTATAGTATTTAGGTATTCAACTTATTTTTCATTTCCTATTCAATAAAATATTTCAAAATACATAGGTATTTTGTTGTATTAATTTTATTCATAATAAAACGTTTAAATCAATCAAACCTATACACAGATATCCCGGTATGGCTATATTTAGTGTCTCGGTGATGTATATTAATGGCGCCAAATACAAGTATTAATTGTTAACACTTATAGTAATGGATTAAGGCCGTTTTAATAATGTCACCACAGCAGTAAATCGCAGAATTGGTGTAAAAATAGATATCCTTCTAAAGGATGGTATTCTATAACGTGACTAGGATTACCAAGCTAACAGAAATAAATGTATTAATCAAATGGCGTGAAACAACCAAGGGATTAATCATGTTATTATAAATATTGAATAGAGATGTAACAAAAATATTTTATATGAAGTATATAAAATTAAATGTGATAACGATTTGTGCCCAGAATAGTAGACTATTATCAACCCCTGAAGCCATTAGTTTGCAATTAAACATGTCTGACGTCGACAATGAAAATATTTAGTATACGATCGTTAGCACCAAAGAGACCACGATTAGATTGCAACGAAAATTAGATTCTTCTGTACAAGTAAAAAAATTGTACGCATTTGTGATGTGAAATTCTTGTTGCACGTTATGTTTAGTACACATGATAGTGCACGATAGATTTCACAACATTAAATTTAATGAACGTAAAAAACCACTCTGATAATAATTTAGTATAAATTCGAAAAATAAATGTACACAAAAACAGTTAATATATTTGATGTGCATGCCTGAAAAAGTTCGTGGAAATCGTAAGAATTTTTTTATTTATCGATTTTAATTTTTATTGTTAAACGTTTACTTTGAAAATAACACAAGACGTGCGTCCGGCGTTTCTATGCGATTAAATACAAATAAAAAACCAACCGTGATGCACCCCTCCTGTTGAAAAACAACAGACGTGTAACATAAGTTTTCAGATATTTTCCAACGCGATGCGTTCGCATACGCATCGATCGTTTTGAATATTTTGGTAATTCAATCGGACAGTTTTCCCAGACCGTCACGATCAAACTTAGACATAGATGTATACATGCACTGTTAAAATAATATACTTATCACAGCGCTAAGATTAAAATTTATATTTTTGTTGTTTTTAGTGTACTTATCAAATACGCATGTGCGACGTTTGCGCGCGTGTCAAATGTTTAATTTTGACCGTGACATTATGTTTAATTTAAACGAACAATCACGTAAAATACTCACGCGTTATTCGTCTTATATTATGTAAAATTACCGTGCACGACGAACGCGATAATCAATTGAACGCGAAGTTTAATTAAGCTGTCGCCACTCGTGAAACTCATTAACATACGTGAATCTAACCTTACCGCAGCAGTGCACGTCGATCCGCAATAAGCAGGGCTCGGAAATTCTAGCAAATGCATAATTTTTTTGGTCCTTACTAGAACATCCGAAGTAAAATACAAATTTATTACATACTTTTTTGATATTATACACGAATTTTAATTAAACGTAATTTTACTATTTTTCATTTATTTACGGTTTTTATCACTACTTTGTTAATTTACTGTTTTCAGTGTTTTTTTTTTTTTTTTTACGTCGTACAAGAAATAATCCCATTTTATTGAAAATAATGATTTACTTGGTTGTATTTTGAAGAAATTTGAATTATTGGAAATAAATGGACTTTAGCGAACGGTTCACTTCAATGACCGTTGACGTTAAGTGGTAATTTTCCATTATTAAAACTATACTATCAGATAACCGCAGATCTTTCAAATTCAAAAGAATAAGAAGACATTTAAAAATCAAGTATAATTTCTAAGGTAAATATTTGAAATAATTTAATTTTAAGTAGGTACGCTTTTACAAACACATTTAAGTAATTTAACATTTTTATTAATAGTTTATAATTCAACCTGTCCTGACATATATGAACCAAAATTGTTGTAAAACTTAAAATTACATTTACTTTTTTTTATTATTTTTCCAATAAATTTATAATTTTTTCAAATTAAATACATATTTTTGTTTTTTTTTTTGTATATTTTGGAATTTTTAATTGCATAATTAAGACCTAAAAAGTAAAATTTTTGTTGTTACAACTTCCAAGCTCTGATAATAAATAACATATAAAGCTTTTGTACCAATATATTTTTTTTTCTAATTCCCAACGATAATGATACTTTCAATGTAAATTTTATACGAAACTAGAAAAACGTACTATTTATGAGCCCATATTGAATACCACTTGGATATTATTCTCCATCATAACAGAAGATTTTACGGTGAAATCGTTTTTATAGATTGATTTACGATCGAAAAATAATATAATAGAGGTGTTGGCCTAGTGCCTTGTCGAGGCTATTTTTAAATATTTTGTGAAGATTTTGCAATTCAGATTTGAATATTAAAATTAAAATGTTCACACAAATTTAACTACGAACACTTTTATGTAACTATCGTCGAGTTTCGTAAAGATTTAAAATTCAAACTTTTAATAAATCAATTTTATTTCAGATACACAATATTTTTACACGAGCAAGAAAGAAAATTACATTCAGTTTATAAATCGATTTCTCGAATTCATCAACTAATTAAAAAGTCTTATTCATATAAATATATATACGAGTATGACCTTCCCTCCTACTGATGGTCGGAATATTTCTGTTAGATATTGTGTACACATAAGCGAAAATAAAAATTAATAAAAAAGAAAAAGAAACATCATGCATTATACGAACCAACAGTGCTAAAAAATAAGGTTTGTTGAAAAAGTTTTTCATGATTATAAATTCGAATCAATTGTCTTCTTAATAAAGCAATGTTAGCATATAATTTAATTTTTAAATGTTATTGTTATTAAAACGTGAATCCTCTCGTTTCACTATAGTTTACGAGACCGATTAACGAGAAAAACTTTAAAAACAAAGTTATTGTCGTCCTACGGATCACACAGGTTGATTTTAACTATGCAAATCACGAACAACGGTTTACGTACAAATCGAATGCGTCCGAAACGAATAATAAATACACGTTGTATTTGAAAAATTTAATGTGAACGCGTGGTTAACAGTATTCGCACATTTTACGCAGATACGCGTGCACGAAACCTATACGATTGTGTTAAATAATGAGGATGCACAGCTCATGCTGATTTCGTTCTGTGAATACGACAATGAACGAGGTTCACCGGCGCAGACGGAAAAACACTTTCAAAACGAAAAAAAACGATATGTTTAACTAAACTATTCACCAAGTTCAACGCATTTGTCGGTCGAGTCGGATGAGAAACCATTGTAATGATTAGGGTTCGGAACTTAATGCACTTAAAAAGTACTAAATATGCGTGCCACTTATGCGTTTAAAAAAGTACAAATATCCTCTAAAAATATGCAATTATATTTTATTTTTGTACACATTTTCATTCGCACAAATATTTTATAAAATTATAAATAAAAAAAAAAGCATAGTAATAAAAATAATTCTGGTTTTTAATTTTCAATCATAATTAAAATAATAATAATAATAATAAAATAGCATTAGAAATGTTTCTCGAATGAAAAAAATGCACTTGTAGAATGTTCAATGAGTAATTTTTCTTGAAAAGTATTTATAGAAAACCATCGTATTTCAATAGCAACTGTTCGTATTTGATATATGTACAATGTTTTATTTTAGATAGAGCTAATATATAAAAGCTGTAGTTTTAATTTACAAATATATACATACACGTAATATATTAACCGATGGGGAAAAACATTGTTTGTTAATGTCGAACATAAATTTGTAAAATACGATACAAGACCGTCAAGAAAGTTCTCTCGATATGAATGTGTGTATGATTTTAATCTTTAAATTTTCATACTGAATCTTCAAAAATTATATAATATACTCTAAAAAAAAAAAGTGGTAATATCAAGAAATATGCTTCGAAATCTAAAAATCACTAAATATGCGCTATAAACTTTTGATATGTTTTTCGTAGTGCCTCGGAACGAATGTCGCAAGCTCGCTTAGCAATAAAGCCAACGGTGCAAAAGAAAAAAAAAATATGCAAATTCAACAACTTCCGAGCCCCAACAACGATCGTGCGATCGTAAAACGTACGTTAGGTTGAACATCGCGCGACCGTTTGAACGAACGCCGGAACACGTGACGTACAATTATGCAACGGTTAACACCGGATGCTCGATAAACGTATGTATCGATTTCTCGAATGGGCTTCTCCGCACCACGACCGCGGCCACGTACATCACTGACGACATAACAGCGAATAACACGTTACCGTTACGAAATACTTCGGTCACGTGGTTACCGGATACCGGTGACGACCGTTGGAAACGACGAAAGGTCGACGGGATCGCGTGAGATCTACGGACTATTTTTCACATCGGTATACCAACGATTGACACATTTTCTCGTTGATATCTTGGTTAGAGATAGATATCTTTAGCGTTCTATACATCAATTGTTTACGTACATCGAGTACGTTGAGTGACGAATTCCCACGGCGATCGATCCGATTAGAAGACGACAACGTGTTCGACAGCATTGTTGATTGAATAATTTCAAATATTTACTCTTAAGCTGACATAAACGAACGAAAACCCTATAAATGTTTTAACGTTATCTTATGCTAAATAAAAATGACGGTAATCCGATGGAAAATAAAAAAATAAACACGTGTAAAAGAAGGAAAGTTAAGCGTTACAATCGGATAACGGGCAAAAGCGGTACCCAGAAACGCTTACACTAGTAGTGGTCGCGGTGTTTTTTCATTCTCAAAAGAGAAAGAAAAAAAAAACCATACAATTCGGTCGAATTGACTGTTAAAAATAAAACGTGCTCAAATTAATTTACTTCACGCTGATTGTGCGCGAGGTGGATTCGATCCAACAACGTTGGCTCTTTCATATAGTCAGATAAAAAAAAAATGTTTTATTATTATTTTTTTTTTTTTTTTTTAATAACAGTAACATTATTATGATCAGTAATTTATATAATATAATCTCGGATAGTTTTTTCTTGTGGAGCTTCGTTTGCTGTTTTTCTCACACAGTGTGAACCCATTATAATTATTATTGCTAAAATGCTTGCGATTGTAGTCGGTCAACAAAATCGTTCTTAACCGTCCGACCAATAACAAAACGTCTGTGTGGTAAATATATACTATATATACATACACAATCAGTATAATATAATAGTTTTTCACTCTTAATATAACCGACTGCAGATAAACGTAGTGAGTTGAATAAAATATATTTTCACGTGCTATTAATTAACAGTTACTAATTTTTAACAAAATTATCACTGTTTGTTTACCATATAGTAATATTACTAATTTTAAAACTCCAAGTAAAACGAGAGAACATTTGATTTTATATTAATATTATTTTTTTCAATCAACACTTCTTTTATATACTAAATTTAGACTAAATATCTTAATAATAATTAATATCCTGTAATATCGGATATTGAACACACAGATATAGTTATTTTTCGATGCGGATTTTTAAATGGGAGGGGCTAAAATTTTTTTTAGACACGTTAAATAAGAAAGGCTTTGAGAGTTCTCCTTAACACCTCCTCCGCCATCGAATTTAAAAATATATTTCCACCATTTTAAAATATTTTTAATAATATTTATTAAAAATATTAAATATAATTAATAATAATAATAAATTGACGGTAGTCAGCTGCGGTAGAATTGCCATGACACAATGGCATATTAAGGGGTGGAAGAGAGGCCCGGAACCCCCTTGATTCATGTAGTACTTCAACTGTAGTAAATACGCCACTGCCTTGAGTATTTTATATTAAAAAAAATTTCCTGTACACTCGTAAAAAATAAGTTTCTCCAAAAAAAAGGCAACAAAATGTAAAGGCTCCGAAGTAGTCTATTTTACTCATATACCGACTGTTCCTTGCACAATATTATTTAAATGTTGTGTGATTACCGATGGACATTGAAAGGCAAGGATATAATCGATTAACTTATTCGAAAAATAAATTTGAATTACGTGGATTATAATTATTATTATTATTATTATTATTATTATTACATTAGGCCAAATGTATCAACATTACTATTTTTTTACATCCCAAATTTCTGTAAACACAATTAAGTTTACAAATACTTGAATACTATACTTCAACTATAACTAGATTCCATCGAGATTAGTTTCTTGAAACTTATGTACCGTTATGCTACAAAAACAATAACTAACACATTATACTTCATATTTTGCTTTATTCCACGTTCTACTGTGAATTTAGACCCTACAGATGATGTTATTCATGACCAAAATATGGTTGACTTATCGTCAAAATCGATAAAAATTAAATTAAAAGTATAAATACTGACACTTTGTAGTATTCTTCAACACTTAAATTGGGATCTGGGTTTGCTCGATTGACTTGTCGTTTAGATATTCTTTTAGTACTCAAGTCTATAACTATAATTACTGACATCTATTAAAAATGTCAAATATAAACATAATTCTTTTCATATAATTCATGTAATAATATACTTTATTTAAGTATACTTACTTTTGCAAGCAGCAAAAACAATTTGTGAAATTCAGTATCACAATTTAATCTGATATTTTTTAATACAATGATAATAAGCAGTAAGTCTTCAGTAAGACTTCTGCTTCTCCTAAATCAATTTTTTTCTTTTTGTAGCAATTTACACAATGGTAAACCAAAAGAAAAAAACATAATATAACTAGAAGAATATTTTATTATAAAATAAAATAAATTATATATATATATATATTAATTACTATTTACTTGTTTAACTTGTAAGGATATAAGAAATTTTGAATCATTAGTTTTTAATAGTACATTAGCTTCCGTTGCAGTGAAATTATTCCAATTAGAAATATTTTCTAATGATTCAACTACGAATGCAAATAGTTCAATGAAATCTGTTACCGCATCATAACGTTGCACCCATCGTGTAGCACATAATCTTTTTAAAGTTTTAACCTTAGGATCCTCATTACTATTTCAATGTTGGTTAAAAGAACATTTTGACGTTTCGGTGTATTAAAGAAAACATAGACGTTTACGGATAAATATTTATAACCTGGTTTTTTTTTTTTTTTTTAATTTCGTAATAATTTATAAGTTTGTATTTGAGCTATTTGTAGGTTTAAGACAATATATAGATACAACTCATGGGGGGATCTAACCCCATATCACCCCCCCTCTTAATTATGACCCCTAGTCACGTATTTCTAGCATGTGTATAGAAATATAATTCAATTTTTTTTTTTTTTATCAAACAGCATATTAACCACATTCTTTCGTTCTAGGTAATCATGTACTGTACGTCACTTTCAGAGTTGATATAAATCTTTTGATATTTAATTATTTTTTTTTTTTTTATTCGGCACAACCATTCACGGTCTGTACAATAAAAAAAAAACCAAATATGTACAGCAACACCACATGCACGGTTAACACATAATAAATTATTTTTATGTCAAACTAAACTAATGTATTTGACAATCGTTAAAATTGTTCTTCTCAGTGTCGCATACATCGTAATATTAAAACATGGATATTTGTACTAATAACGTTATAATATAAATATAGGGCTTGTGATATCTAACGTCAATCGATAGCAAAAACTTATCATTGTGACATTTTTTTTTTTTTTAATTTAATCTTTTTAACAAATAATATAGATATCGGAAACTTATGGGAAACGGACAACCGTTAATAATAACCGACATTGTTTTGAATACAAATTATTTAAATATACGAATATATATTTGTTGCAT